TCATCAGCAGAAGTTATTTGAGACGCTTGATCGTACGGGAGCATTTCGCGAGGTGCAAGGTTGACGAGCACCAACCCGAGACACTCGCACCCTACCGTACTGAGGCTTTCGGAGGCCCATAGATCGTTTGCATGAGAGTGAATCAGCTAATCCTGTTGTCATCATTTAAAATATTTTACACTTCCTTGGTTAGTTACTAGTTCTATTCATCATTCCATTGTGACTGGTGATCATTTCCATAGTATTAATTGGGTTAGTACCTTCTATTTATCATTGACCTTTACAGCTCACTTTGATAGGTCTCTTTCTAATTTAAGCTTAAGCAGAGAGTGTTCTTGAGCTTATGCACTTCATCTGTTGTACTTGTTCACTCGCTCCTGCTCATGTGTGCTCAAGTTTTGGTTCTTGTGTTGCGCATTTCACCAAACAGGTTTTCACGTTGCTCGGTGTTTGCCGAGGCAGATGTTGAGTGCTAAAAGGTCAAGGGTGATCAAAATAAAACCTGGCATGAGGGTATGAAAACCCTAACCAGGAGACTTGGTCATGTAGGTCGTGTTAGGCTCCTCGGGATCATTGTGATCAATAACTAGAGACTGAATGTCGTGAACAGTGATCCTCGTGCATTTTCCCAATTTCTTTGTAACCTTAGTCTACTGAAAATCTCCATTTTCTCTTCGACCATACTTTCAACTTTCCTGTCTGCCTCCTATTACTTCATCCAAATGAGCAATCAAAAAGCAGCAACTAAAACCACCACACTTGAGTGCGTGGTTAATGGTTGTACTAACAGAACTAAACGGATCACTACCTACATTGATAAATAGAACACCCTGAGGAAGCCTATCTAATCAACTTGACCGACAGTCACATAAAGGAGTCTCGGATATTTTGAACTACAAGGACGGGAAAGTTTTTTTTCAATTCAAAGTATCAGATCTGAACAATGTTCGAAGTGTATCGAAAAATCGATGCGCCATGCGATATGTTTTATATAAGTTGTAATTTTGAAAACACAGCGTTGTCGCTACAGGTGAAATTAAGCCGACGTTTCGGTTACCGTGGGTAACCTTTATGAAGGCGATTTTACAATCGTATGAGTCAGGAACAGTGTGGCAAATAATTTTTAATTGTTTGCCGAATGCCTAACGATACAGCCTTATAATCTCAGGATTTAACAGTTTGTCAGGGTCAACTCGTTTTCGGAATAAACGTCCACTTGATCAGGATTACAAGTCAAGCGGGAAACTGAATTCTGTCAACCGTAAAGGAACATAGTATCTATCGATTCTTTACCCGATAATAATTTTTCATTTTTTAGTTGCATGTCTGCAGTAGCTTCACTTCATAAATCGTGCATTCCGTATCAATATTCTGTAACTTAAACATGATTGGATGTTGACGGTTTTCCTATATCCCTTCTCCCGTTAGGCATTCTTCTTCAACAATTATTTGATGGACCCCTTGCGACCTCAATTGCCTCTTGAGCCCCGTCTACCCAGCAAAAGACGCAGATCACGGTCGCGCGCCGATTCCAAGTCACACGGCCACGTGCCCAATAATGAGCCGGTAGTCTCGCATATGAACGATAATCTAAGAGGCATTCCAACTCGGGAACGTTCCAACACGGACCAGAGCGGTCAACGGTGGTACGGTGAACGACGTTTCCGGGAAGACAATAACTCGCGTCCGTTCTATCCGTCCAATCCTTTTGGTCGGGATCATGGCCTCTCGGGATCGTTGGGACCTCGACCATATGGTCGAATGCCTTATTTTCAGCCCAGATTACCATTCAACACTCAGCGTGGTCGATATTTCGGTTCTGGATCAAACTATCAAGGCATGAGGTAGGTTACGTTTTCATCCATTCCCGTTCTGACTTCTTATGGGCATTTTAAACGTAAATTACCGTCTTGCCTCCATGAAATAAACGATAAGAACAATGATTTATGGTCATGCGGACAAAACAAGGGTGTTTCTGATACACTTGGCCAGTAAGTGGTTTTTATAAATATTCGCACCCCGTAGTTTAAGCGGCATTGCACTAATCTGCGCTCTCCTACAGACATACTGCTAAAACCATTGGATTAACTTTCGCGGTTCACCAGTGCGATGCATGGTAAAAATG